AATGTGGATAGTAAGCTAAGAAAATTCAAATTAAAAAAAATGAGATAAGTGATAAAAAAAACGCATTTAAAATGTGCATCTACACAAAGTTACAAAATTACGTGACATAACGAATTGCATGCATTACTATGTATGTAGAGTGTTTTCATTCAACTTTTTTTATTTATTGAACACTAAAGTGTAAACATTTTTATTAAAAACCACAATTAAATACATATTATTCAAGTTACAACATGTACCAAATCAACAATAGTGGCTTTAAGAAAATTTCAACAATACTACTGATTTATTATAAAACAAAACAAGTGTAATACCACTCTTTTACTTATTTGGTAAAAAATCACCTCAACTGGCCGTTTGTTGGCCGCTGCTGCTACGTAATGGCAGCCGTTGCTGGCCTTTATGGCCTCGGCGAGGATCGTCAACATCGCAAAAAGCAGCAGCAACAACAACATCACCAGCAGGAGCAACGCGAACAAAAGGAAGAGCAAAAGAAAATCGCTGAGCGAAAATTGTTGCGCGAACAGCAACAACAACTGCTTTCACGTGCCTCATTTGAAGGGTGAAGTAGACATTTTGATTTACATATAATATTTATACATATTTATATATTTAATCTTTTTAGAGAAAATGCTAAATACTGTTAAGGGCACAAGACGTGCCATTTCAATTTCGGACAATTCTGTTTAATTCTTATTTATTTAACATTGAAGCACAAAATATATTTCCTAAACATTTCCAGCTCTCTACAAGCGAATGTTTTTTGCATATTTAATGGAGGCATACACTCATTCGCTAATCTAATGTTTATTTGTTCGAATCGGATTTAAATCTGCTTTCCAGCTGAACGAATTGCAAATATTTGTTGTCCAATGTTTAATCGCCTAAAAGTATGCAATGTTATGCGCACACAAATTCCGCGTAATTGTGGCCTTCACACCTACAGTGTGACTACTAAAAAAATAAATCTGTAATTGATACAATGTCACCATGATTGCTTGCTATAATGCAACGCCGATGCAATTTAAACACGTTTTTGTGTACGTACAGTTATTCACAAAATAATAGGAGTGCGCTATTTTTTACCAGTTTTTGCTATTTCTTTTGCTTTTGTAATGTTTATTTTTTTTTTTATAAAAGTCTAGCTGTTTATACAACCAGCACCATATAAAATTACAATTAAAAATTTTGTACGAAAATCATAAAAATTCTACAAAATTTCACCAAAATTTCAAACTTTTTAATCAGAATTTTTAGAAATTTCGGTATGCAGTTTTGTAGTAAAAAATCCCGTTCATTTATAATATATTTCTGCAGGCAGTGTCTTCCAAATAAAAAATATACTTTTATGGAAAAAAATGCGAAACACCTTTATCTAAAAAAAGGTCAAAAATCACTGCGATTTTTTACCTTTATAGTATTTAAATTTTATGGACTTTAAAAGTGCATACCATTTTTTTTTAATTCAGAATAAAAAGTTTAAAATTTTCGGGGAAAATTTGAGGAATGTTTATAGTTTCTTACAAAATTTTAAATGTGGATTTATATGGTGTGTGTTGTATAGCCTGCTAGACTTTTATAAAAAAAAAAAACAATAAACATTACATAGACAAAAAGAAAAATATGCAAAAGTCGTCAAAATATCGCACTGCTATTATTTTGTGGACAACTGTATGTAGCTGCAATTACATGTGTATATGCATTTGCAAATTACGACCCCACCAGCTGTTACACACGCTTCACTACGTCGCAAACCGAATTTCCAGCTGTCAGCAGCAGCAGCAGCAGCTACATCGAATAGCGACAGCGACAGCGATAGCATCTACATACACAAAGGCGAATATATAAATCATCCAAAGCAAGCGAAACGAACGAAGCGTCAATCGGCATTTGCACTTTTGTATTTCCGCATTGAAATACCGGTTTTTTTTATTGTAAGTTTAGGTATTTGCGCTATAAGCGCATTCCTAGCGAGTAATGTATGTATGTATGGGTGGCTGTCACTGCAGGGCAGGAAGCTGCCAAGTGTTGATGAACGGCAAGGAAAAATGTGTCAATGCAAATGAATGAAATCGATATGTTGCAACAATGCGCAGACAGCTAGTTTGTACAATCCCTGCAGGGTAACCGCGGACTAGTGAATCGAATTTCTAGTTCCGTACTAGATCTTTATCGCCAGCCCGATAGTAGTAGGTGGGGATCTTGTTACTATCGGACTAGTTTGTTTTTGGCGAAAAAGATCTAGTACGGAACTAGAAATTCGATTCACTAGTCCACGGTTACCCTGCAGGGGCCCTCCGGAATCTAACCAATAACAGCGAGCACCTCTGCAAAGTCAGCTACAGCCAACGGTATGTAAACGTACATTTCTTACAATCATTCAAAACAAATTTAATTTCAAATTGCAATTCTTTGAAAATAATTTAAAATCGCACACGGAAGAACCGAAAAGATTGACCAGTCATGACACCTTTTTCTTTCGTCTGTCGGTTTTAGAAGTGGCTCGAAACTATAGAATTTAGGACTAGTTCGGAACTATCGAAAAAGGGATGCAGCGGGGGGCAATTGACACTAGCTAGGACATCGCCATATTAAATTCGCCAGTTGTTTGCATGCAAAAGAGATTTATCGCGAACCAGTACTGGGTCTAAATGTACTAGAAGCGCACCAGTTCAAAAGTAGAGATTTTCCCCACAGCGACTCAACTTAAGCCAGTATGTGTGTGTGCGTGTATGAATGTATATTTGTACGCTCGCAAACATTTGCATACCCGTGTCATTGTGTAAGTGAGTTTTCCCCTCGAATTCAATTCCAAATCAATTTGAGTTCACACGCTGTCAAATGTGCAAAGTTGGTTGCCACGAAAAAGTGTGCATGACATGCAGATGGCTGATTGCTTAATAGTATGCAGTGGGCAAATGCACATATCTACATATACATATGTATATATGCACATTAGCCCGTAGCAGAAAGAAAAAGTCGTACACCCCTGAATCTAAAGTATTTTTGCAAGGTAATTTCGAAAAAAAAATCAGGCGGATGTCACTATTTTACATGTTTTGGTGACAACTACTTACATTCGACAAGGCCTGCCAGCACACTTAGCTCCGGTCAGGGGCCCATTGGGATACCACATGCATAGATTCCAAACCCCTACTCCCTATACCAATTCATGAAGTCTACGAACCTTAGCAGCTCCGTATTCACAACTTAGCCGTTGGCTTCGATCACTTAAATATTCTACCTACGAATTTCTGTATTTTCCTGCATAGTGAAACGCAATAGCGGAGTAAGTGTCTGATTGATTCTGGCTGAAAGCTCTGAATGTCTTCCTCTCAGGATATGTCCTGTGAGCAGATCAATGGCCAGTGACATATCTCCTCTATTGATAGTGAGAATTTCTCCGTATATACCATATTTCAGGTTGAAGTGCGCTCCCATCTGGTACCCCCTTTTTCAAGGAAATGCTCCCTTTTTAAGAGCTTGCAGGAAGCTAGTGGCACCTAGTGCTAGTGGTACCCATCCTCCACCAGGCTGTTGAAAATGGAATGGTAATATCCCCTCTTGCAAGGTCGTCTGCCTTATCAGTTCCTGGTAATGCCACTGTCTGGTATAGGTACCAAGTGCAAAGCAAACTGATCTGATCTTATGGCATCTTTAGATCCCGCAACTCCTTCGATCCACTACTCGCTGCTTGGTATAGCTATGCTATTAACTTTAGTAAAAGTGAGTACACAGTAGTCCGATGTGCTCGGTAATTGCTGGTTGATAAGAATTTTAGTGTGAACATATCGAGCCGCTTTCCAGTTTCTAAGCTCTTTTAGTCTTAGGGCTGCATTGGCAGCGTATTATCTATTCATAAAACATATATATGGGTGTTGTGCGGAGAGCACTACTAATGCAAATCAGAGCGGTTATCTTGACTTTTTGCAATTTCGTAGTGTTTAATATCTTCCCTAATACGGCCCACTCCTCCACTGCCCCTAGAGAAATATGGGTCTCACCACGTCGGTGTGTATTCAGTGTACTAGTTTCGTAGTCAAATACCATTTTTGGCCGATTTCTTCTCTACAACTAACCAGCTTAATTTTTTATCAAAGACTATGCCCAGAAATTTCACGGTGTAGTTGAGAGTCCGTCACCAACCAACACTCTGATGTGGACAACCAGTCTCTCCATAACCATCAGTTTAAAACACGACAAGGGATCCGGCAATATTAATCAACAAACTTCCTTATTAACGGTACGTCATTCTAACATTAGGGAGGAATGTTAGGGTGATAAAAACTAAGATAAGGTGGGCAAGTACCAGAACAGGGTTTTCGAGATCAATGCACTTTGGAGCAAACATTTGTTATTTTTTTTTTTAACAAATCATCGGTATATCACACTTTAAGATCCGACTGTGAATGCGCGAAGATATGGCAAAAAAACACAAAGTGGACCCCAAATTCGGCAAAAAAAAATTTTAATTGCCTTCGAATCGAAATACTTCCTTAGAAAAATTTTAATGACTTTTGTCGAGCTTTAATTTACTGGCATTAGTGTGGTGCATTAGGGTGATAGCAACTGAGGTCTGGTGAGTAAGCACTAAAACGGAGTACTGTTGGGCAATAAACTCGAGACAAGAAGATCGATATATCATACTTTAAGATCAGACTGGAAATTCCGAATATATCGCGAATAATGAAAAATGCGACCTCTACGTTCGAATTTTTTTCTTTTTCCGAAATTCCCTTGCAAAATGCTTTAGGGGTGTACGGTGAAATTTTTTTCTGGTACTGTCTAATGCACATCCATATGCATGAGTGTGTGTGTGGACATAAGTTCGCTTTTGCATACTTGTTAGAAAGCTTTTCACAATAGCTTGTCTTCTTCTACACTTAAATGTGTCTGCACTTCCTGCCAATTCGTCACTCAAGCGCTACCTGCATATTTCTTGCACATATACATATAGGTACATCTATGTAAGTATATATTTATATGGCTTTATAAATAGATATAACGCACATTTTTGTTATCAAAACCACACTCCGATGAAAAGCTTTTACAACGAACCAGCATAAGTTCCAGGTTAAAGTGAAAGATTAAAAGTGCAAAGTTTAGATACTTAATAAAAAATGTAGACGATATGACTGCGTGTGCTTGGCACCAGTAAGGAAGGAAACAAATTATATAATATGTGGTAAATTGCTGGCCGCAAGGCTCGTTGCCAATTTTGTTGGAACGGTGCAGCAATTGGTGCAGTGGGGCTGGTTGAAAAAGCAAACATTTTAAACTATTTATTTGTGTGCGTGAGGTAATACAAGTACATAAAAAATATTACAAATTATAAAAAATGCTCGTTCTCAGGTTGCACTAAAAATGAATATTAATAGCAGTAAATTAATGTGGATTTTATTGAGCCTCGAAATTTCGGTATTTTTACAGAGCTGTTGAAAGTTGTTTGAAAAATATTTTTTAGTTTTGAGTTTTTCGGTAGATTGAGCTCAAGGAAAATTCCCTTTTAATTCATTACTGCCTTATTACAACTATATATGTATTTATTTGAGGTATTCACAA